GCAAAGAAGAGCCATAAATCAATCAATTAATCGACTACCGCCTCTTTCCCCGAGCACAACGGACCCCCGTCATGAACGTATACAAACCATGTTTCTGGTCCGATACAGTCTCCTCAATGAGGGTGCTTTGTCTTCAGGGAAAGACGGAAGGAGTCTATCACTCAATTCACTCAATTGACAACTGGACTCAACTCATTTTTTTCTGAGGACAAGAAATCAGAGCATACACACACAAAAAAAAAAACAAAAAATTTTTAAAAAATAAAAAAAAAAAAAAAATAAGGGGGGAGGCAAAAAAAAAAAAAAAAAAAAAACTTGGGCCAGTAGACGCTGTTTTTTTGTCATTTTCAAGTTTCAACCCTTCCCGCCATAGTCATTATGTTGTTAACAACAGAATTTAGCGAACGACGCTAAATATCGCTGTGGATTGCGTTTTCAAAGTTTTTTTTGCATTTTTTTTCAGTGAAAGTATTGATCAGCAATAGAAAATTGTCATAAAAACACTCAGTCTTTTTAAACTTTCTGGTTTTCTTCTTCCCCGCCCCCCCCTCCTTGTCTCCCTTCCGGACCAAGTGCTTATCGGGTGGGTACTTTTTTCATGCAGATTTATCAGGCCGAATGAATCTTTCGGATTACAAATGAATCTTTCGGATAAAAAATGAAAATTTCGGAAAAATATAATATAATATATATTTCTGATTATGTTCGGATAAGGAATATCTAGCCCAGCGCAAAATATGAAAGAAAAATAGAGAAGTATGTTCTGGAGGGTGACAATAGACACAAGTTTTGGTCGGAAGATCACTTCTAAATTCGTAGCAGAACTCAAGATTTAAAAAAATAAAACAGAAAAATAAACAGAAAAATAAAAACAATAATACAATATATTTAATTTTAATCAATTAAGCAATCCCTCTCTAAACCCCTTCAAACCCTGTCTATACGCCCTTTGAATTCCTTGAGCCCTCCCTATATGACATGCGCAGCATGATTTTTTGTTTTTGTTTTTATATACTCAAACAGAGCTGCCAACGGTAAACCGTAGGCAGAGAGGGAGAAGGGAGAAGAGGACGAGAAACGAGGGAGGGGCTGTGACAAACTCTTTCGTCGGAGTTTCACCTACCTACTCATCAGGAGGAGGCTTAACCCTCAACAGTGTGCAGAATCCCCTAACCTGATGATTACACTGTAAGTGATAATCCACCTTAATATATATCTATGTATATACTATATATCATCAAACAGAATATTATATGTATCTCTGTTTGACTATAAATACATTATATATAGACCCAGGATTGACTTTATGGAGGGCCAGGTGCTCTTTTTCACAAGAAAGCTAAACACTTTTGGTTTTCCACATGCAATAAGAGTCCACGCACACCTATGAATCCTGGAATACTATGGGCCTCGCTCCACTACTCACCGCGTGCACAAAAGACAAAACTATGGCGGTGTATCTCTCCATGTTCTAGCGGAAGATTCATTCTCATTTTGCACATTTGGTGAGTAATGGAGCGAGGCCCTATGACGAGGCAGTGCTTCTACTCAGAGAAGGAACACCCACAACACCCACGAAAGCCCGCAGACGCATTGCATCCACACTCCAGTCAATCTGGATTCTTATCTGTGAG